CCACGACGGAACACGGACTCGGCATGTGGTTGATCTCTTGTCATCGAACGGCCACGTTACCACCGTCCGACATAGACGAGGATGGTCTGCGTACCAGCGTTCGCATCGACGGGGCAGGCGGCGTTGATGAATCTCGAGTCGCTGGAGTGCACCCCGCTCAATTTTTCCAGCACCGTGGGAGGAGGGGTTGATGCGAATGGCGGGGGCGAAAAGACCACGGCCCCGGCAGGCGACAACGCCTACTCTGCCATGGAAGTGGAGGCCGCCGCTGCTGATTAAGTAGCCGTCCGGTTGAGCGCGGGGAGTTCAGTGCTAATGATAAGGAACGTACCGTGTGCTTCGAATAGATAGCTGGTCGTGTCCCTAGCTCGCCGGCTGTAGAAGTCGCGACCCAGCAGTATGACACAAACTGATCTACGCAGGGCATCGAGTAAATTTATGAGTGAAAGAGGCGGTGCTTTTGAAAGGAGCGTGTGGTGTTGCTCCAGCGAATCTGTGGCTTCAGCACGCGGGACGGCGGTAACTTCGGGGGACAGGGTGCCTCGGCGCGTCGACCTCAAACCACAGTAGTTGTCATCCTGGGTGGCGCGCGTTTTCATCGCACGAAGGAATATGTTGGGCGGGTCGACTCGAATGGTTCAGGGCCGTGTGCTGTGTGCAATGCGACCGGAAATGGTTACGCCATGCGTAGCAGCGAGATGTTCTAGAACTTGCGGCGTAGGAGCAGGAGCAGGCAAGACCTCGAATGCGTTCACTCGCGCTCGGAAGAACGTTTTGGGGAGGTTGTAGTGACGCGAGCGGCTTTCGATCTTTACGCTTAGGGTTGGACATGTCCGTTCGTATGATAAATGGTCTGCGATGGGAGAGATGATGTCGTGAAATTTGGCAGTCGCTGGCAGGTGCCACTATGGCTGGGTTGCTGGTTTTTGGCAAAAGTCGTCCTTGTAGCAGACTGCCGTGTAAGCTTCTATAGTATATGACCTACGCACTCTCAGGCCCAGAAGGAGTACTGGCACTTTTTTCCCGGAGCAAAATTCCCTGAATTGTCGTTTTGACGCTCGGGGCACAGGAGGGCAACTCAACAGATTGCAACAGAGAACGTGGTAGAACCCATGTTCTCTCTGAAGATGCTGAGTTGCCTCCTGCTTGAAGTCCATCGAAACGCAGAGTGCGGCACACCTTTGTTGCTGCCGATTCCCCTGTTCCTTTGCGGGTGAGCTAGCTGCTCAGCAAACACCCGCACCGGGCGGATACGTCACAAATCTCCACCTCGACTGACCGGAACCCGGATTCGACAGCGGTGGCGCCGATACGTAGCAGCCCACAGACCAAGCGGACAAAAAAGGGGTAACGTTGGCGGGAAGACAAACGCCCCGACAAGCGGGGCTTTTGTGCGGACACCGACTGTCCCACGAGGTCCACCGGCATCTGAGGTTTCTCTGCGGTCACCACCCAAGAACAACAACAGCGCAAACCCGATGGGACAAGGATGATGGTGAACCACATCTCACTACCGTGCTTGTTCCATCGGGATTGCGCTCTTTTGTTGATCGGTCTTGTCTGCAGGTAAACCGCAGCCGTCCGCAGACCTTGTGGGAAAGTCGGGGTCCGCGCAAGAATGTCGCCTTTGTCTTCCCTTGCAAGCGTCATCGAGAGTACAGCAGTAGGGCCCTCCAAAGCATGCATCTAGACTATATCCGTTTTTTTTTCGATGTAAACGTACTCACAGTAGGAAAGAAAAAAGCGAGAGGTGAGCATTCACATTTGTTCTACACCAACATTCCCTTGAGAAAGGAAAAACGAACGATATACCAATCCGTCGAAAAGAAGTGCACTCACTCGCAACTTGAGGGTAGAGAGAAAGAAAAGATGCCCGCAGCTTTCTGATTGGCCAACTTTTTTGAAAGGAAATTTCCGAATTGGCCAATCATCCCTGGTTGACGTGTGACATCATCCACGGCGGTGTTACTTCTTTTTTATCAAAGCAGACGTGGCGTTTTTTTACCGGTAGCGGCACTATCTCGCGACGCCAAGCTTCAAGCCAGCTCAAAAGGGGCACGTACAGAATGCCCATTCTCTTGTCCATGACAGCAGCCAAACGTCGGGCGCTGGCGATATTGTTGTCCGAACACAACGTCGTCCCACAGCAGCTACAAGGCAACAAAACTCAAGACACTTCGGGCGGGCGAAGAACCCCGGGCTAAAAACAGCGATCCCGTTTTTCTAATCCCGTTTTTCTTATCCCAGGTGAGCGGACAACGCACTATGGCAAGCAGTGCCGCACCGTTTCCGGAGCTCTTGCAACATGCGATCCTCCTCCCCGAGAGCCGGTCCCACGTGTGATGGGAATCCATCCAGTGGCTGCGTCGAGCCAAAGGCATTCCGAGCGACAACTGCTGTTGACTTCTCTCCACCCAAACAGCAAGCAGCGACTACACAGAGGGACATAAACGAACAGAAACAAAAACACTCAATAACCGTCCCGGAAGCGATTCAGCTGCGCTTCCGCGTCCTCGTCGTCCGAGAGGCCGTAGTCTTTCTTGTCAAACCCGGGGATGGGCGGGGTGTAGGTGGCCACCCTCCGGTTAAGCGGCGGCGGGTTCCTGTCGGGCTGTCTCGCCGCGTGCTGCAGGAGCTCCGGCAGGTGCGCGATCGCGTCGTCCCTCAGCTTGATCTTCATCGTCAGGTCCGCCATCCTCTCGTTGTGGCTCGTGGCCATCTTGCTGTTGTATCGCCGCCCGATCTCGAAATTTCGCTGCTTTTCTTCCGCCGAGAGTTCCGGCCTGGTACATGCGATGCCAAAGTGCCAACGCGCGGGG